GGGAAATTTTAGATGAACTCTGTATTTTTGCAGTTTTTCTGTAAATTGTATGTAAGCTTTTAATCTAAATCATTAATTTTTATATTATTTATTAAATATACAGTGTAGTTGTAAAATTTAAATACTAGCTATTTTCATTTGCTAGCTATTTCAGCTATATTCAATGTTAGCTATTTTCATAATAGATTAGTTAATGGACGTGAAAATTTATTACCATCCTAGAATTTCGTCTAAGAATTCTAGAAATCTCTTTAAGAATTTTAAAAGCAGACATCTAGCTCGAATTTGGGGATAATTAATTGAATAATTTCTATTCTTTCAATCGTTGATTAACTGCTGCCATTTACTGATAATTATTTTGAATAATTTCTGCTTTATAATTATTTGCATATTTTTGACAATTATTTTCCATCGTTTCCGTTTTTTAAATTTATATATTATAGCTGTCATTTAGTTTTAATTATTTTTAATGTTTTTTCTTACAGTTTATGTATATATTTGTTGTAATTAAGTACTAATAAGTATTATGTATATTTTTTGTTCTTCTATCTTTGTATATTTGTTGTCATCTAGTTATAATTATTTTGTACATTTTTTTTTCTTTTTTTTTTTCAATTGTCATTTATTGATAATTATTTGGTATATTTCCTGTTCTTCCAATTTTAAATTTGTTATCATTTACTGATAATTATTTTGAATCACTTCTGTTTTGTCGTTATTATTTCTTCTTAACGTAAATATAGTAATTCCACCCTCACTGTATCTGACACCTTATTGCCTGCCAAACAAAAGAAATTAATACATTTTTAATTTAATATTACACACTAGTGTTAGCTTTATTTAGTAATAATTTTTTTAGATTATATTCTTAAATTTCAAACTTCAATATAAAAAACACTAAAATGACGTTCTGCGTGTTAATTGTTAATGTAAAATAAATAATTTTTTGAGTTAATAAAAACTGTTTACGTTAGCATTAAATACTTCGTATACAAGTAAAAATTCTTTTTTAAAAAAAGCTAATCTCTTTTACGTAAATTACGGATTACATTAAATTCCATTTTCAGGATAATGGTTCTTAATAGTAGCAAATTTTTGTACCATCTAATGCACTATTAAGCATTTCTTTAGGACTTTGATATTTTTACTGTTTTATTCAAACTATACAAGAAAATGTATAAGTTAAAATGTTCGTATATTAAAATTTCATTTTAAAAAAGCTTATCCCTTTTACGTAAATTACGGATTACATTAAATTCCATTTTCAGAATAATGGTTTTTTAAAGTCGCAAATGTTTGCTGAACTGTTCAAATTAAAATTCTACGTAAGTAAATTTAAATTTTCGAGGATAAAAATTAGGCTTTAAAAAATTATTAATTCAGAGATTAAAATGCTAATTACTTATACATAAATAACTGAAAATGTAAGAATTTCGTTTTCAGAATAACTGTGCTTATTAGTAGCACATTTCTACGTCTTCTAATATGCAATATAGCATTTATTCCACTTCTAATGCCTCCATATTTTTGCTGATGACAGCTGTTCTTTCCAAATTGTTCTCGCACAATTATTCTTTCAAGCCGTATCATTTGTTGTCAAGATTCAGACTCAGTCCAATTCCATCAAAATGGAACACTTGCGTTAAAAAACTTCTGTTGAATGTCTGGTTATTCACGCTTTAATGAAGCCAATATGTTTCCTGTCAAAACACTTTTCCAACAGAAACTAAAAAAAAAACTAAAGGTCTGCGTAATTGCAAATAAACCTGGTGGTCTTCTTTACAAAGGCAAGTGTATGGCATCTTGCCATTACGTTTGCAGTTGCCAAGACAAAATGGTATTGCTCGTCCCATCGAAATTGCCAGCTGTCCCATCAACTTTTTTTGCATTTTTAATTGCACCATATATTTCAGTTCTTCGCCAAACCTTCCCTTGAGAGTCAAATTGCTGCGTTTGTATCCTTTTCTCTTTAATTAGTTACTGACTTAGTTTGAGATCGACTTTGATGTTGTCAGATACTAAACAGGAAGTACACTAAATTTAAATGAGTGCTTTCTTGGCGGTGTTTGTTGTCTCTTCATTGTTATCGTTGGCTTTGACCTTTGGCGATGATTTCGCCTTGTTTTTTCTAAGCTTTTAATCCGCATTGTCATTAACATTCCTTTGGACTGACTTTAATAATGAGATTGTTTATTAGAGGACTTTGATTTATCTTTAAAAAAAATTTTGGAATTGGGCTCATAAAAAAGTTGCTTATTGATTATCGCATGTTGGGTTGGGGCCTATATTGAAGTCTACTTTTAAAATATATTAATTAAAGTACTCTACCTTATCTAAATCAATTCAGTAGATTTTAAATATGAAACAGAAGTTCGATGAAAAAAATCTATTGCTTTAAAACCAAGTGCTTTTCCATATTTTGTTTTGATGATAGCTCCCTTTTATTTATTTACGATTTTTTTTTTGGGGGGGGGGGGGNTTTTGGGGGGGGGGGGGAGACTTAGTGAGAAACTTCATTGTTTGCATATTTGTTGTTCTGAAAACTTGAAGAACATACAGCATGCAGCTTTATGCAGAGGATAGAGCGCTCGCCTCCCAATGAGGTGAACCGGGTTCGAATCCCGGCAATGGCTGGTTGATTCGAAATCCGCAGTCGGCTCGCACCAACCACAGTGCTGACGTAAAATATCCTCAGTGGTAGACAGATCATGGGTTAGAGTCCCCTTGCTGTCAGGCTAACCGTGGGAAATTTTCGTGGTTTTCCTCCCCATGTAACGCAAATACAAGTTAGTTCCATCCGAAAGTCCTTCACGAAGACAAATTTCCCCCAATACTTCATACTGGAGTTCCCTTGTTTTTTTGGATTGGGTTCAAAATTTCCTACCTATTTGTTAAAACTCTAATTTGAAAATTTTTAATATGTTTGCTTATGTGATTGAACTGTTGTGAGCACTTCGAACTTTCGGAGTGTCCCCGGATGTCTCCTTACGGAGGCGGGGCGGGGTTAAGCTAGTTATTGTTAGTCGTAAACTGAAAATTTGGTCGACTGTTCAACGACGGTTACAAAATAAAATAAAATGTACAAAAAGATTATTTAAAATCAATTATTTCAAGAATATCGTAAAGCAAAAATAATTATTTTATTGTCCATACCGTATCAATTTTGTCATGAAAGATTTCCCTCGCTTTACCTTGATTGTTCAATGACTTTATCTATTTGATCATACATACCATAATTTTTGCGTCTCGTGTTGCATACGTTGCGTGATCTTACAGACTCGGATAAATGCTCTATTAAACACTCTATGAAGAATCATTTCCTTTGATGTTCGTAGAAAAGACAATGTATTGAAGAGGAAAACACCTGTCTGATATTCCATCTATTCGACCTTCAGCCTGGAATTTGAGTTTTCGTGATGGGTCAAGGTCAAAATTATATTGCTTATCTTCATATTACGAAAACACTATTTTGACCATTTTTTTATTGCGACGCAGTTGAAGAATTCTTTAAAGACAATAATACTATTATTATGCAGTGTGGGAGTTAGATGTATTCAAAAATCAAAAGCGGCTAAAGAGGACATTTTTTTTTACATCTATAGATATTTGTGGAAAATGTTCTGCTAAAATTAGGCACTTTTTACACGGTTTTTAAAGCACGTTTTAAAAATCCTGTTATTATAAAATAATTTAGTCCATTTTTTATTGCTACTTATATGACGAATTTCTTAACTCTTTCTGACACAGTGTCTCTAATCTAGCAGCACAAATTTCAAAAATCTTGCGAATCATTAAAAATGTGAAACAATTTGCTTTTAAATGTTCACCGTGTTTTAGCAATCTCTATTCAACAACAAAGATCTAAAGCAGCGGTTCTCAAATGGTGTATTGTGGAACTGTAGGGTTCCGCGAAAGAGTTAAAGGGGTTCCGAGAGTGAGGAATTTTTTTTTAATAGAAATGTTTTACGAAACCTGTTATTAAATCTAATCCAATTAATAATCCGTTATTTATTTAATATTTCTGTTATTTTTATGAAATTATTTAAATGAAATGCTTAAGAAAAAAGTAATTTTAAAAGAATGTTTTTTTTTCTAATAACAATATATTAAATGAATATTCATTTATAAAAAATTCCATTAGTATTTCAAATCGAATAAAAATACCCATATTGAACAGAGAAGAAGTATATTTCTCTGATAACCATTCTCAACCTTTATTTTCTTCCTTTTGCGTTTTTATGTAAATTTAAACCATAATACAGCTCATTTATTTTCAGCTAAAGCATGAATTAAAATCAAATTAAGAACTCGACTCCAGAAGTGTGAATTCAACTGTCTGACCTTTAAACCAATTTAAAGACTAATATCGATAATGCGATGCAATGAAAAAATTTCATTCTTCACTCATTCACTAAATATTTTCAAAATAATTATTAAAATTTAGATCATTACATATTTTCGAAATAATTAATAGTCTTTCTTTAATTAATATATTCACAATTGCTGATGAAATTTATTCTTTAAATCCCAGGGTTCCACCAAAGGAAGCTTGATCATTTAGGGTTCCGCAGTAGAAAAAAATTGTGCTTTCTGGAAATGTTACTGACTATAATACTATTATTCGTAGTGTAGATAATAAGTATTCAAAAATCGGAGATTATTACATACATTTTTTTTAAATATTTTTAAACATTTCGGGAAATAAATTCTGCTAAAAGTAGAAGTTGGGAGTTCTGTTAAAATTCATACTTAACATACTAAACATATTTAACTATCAATAGTTAAAATAAAGCTGAACAATCTGAACAGTTAATCCTCAAAAACAACATACTTAATAATAATATTATTAAAAAAAACTCATATAATATCGTATATATCTTGATTTGTGTTTTATTAATGTTTACTAGCTTTATTTTCATATTATACCACAAACTATGACTTTTCTTCATTTGGTTTGTTAAAAAGGTTTAAAACGTAATTTTTGTTTCTTTTCATTCCAGAAGCCACCATGGGAGATATCCACCTATGTAAACCCATTGCTCTCTTCACGTTTCTCTAGTGACGTCATCACGAAAACAGGATCACGCCATGCTCATACGCAACTGATGACTGTAAGCAGCACACAAAAATCGTGGCCCTGAACTTCTGAAAGAACAATTCAGAAAAGAAACAAGGCTTAGCAGTGATATTTATCTTTAATATTGCCCTCGTTATTATATGAGTATTACACATGCCATCTTCCTTCTGATGTTTTCTAGCACATGCACATGCGTGACTCTAGCGCACATACTTCGAACATGGTGCGGTGATTCTTTATTTTCCGCTTTTTTTCACGCTTCTCAACTTGATCAAGGTATCTGTGGTGTGCACGTCGTGACGAAATGAGAACTTGATGGAACTCCTGATGAAGGGAAGTTGAACTTGATTTTCCTTTATGATATGACTGTTGCCTGACGCTAAATTCCGGTTTAGTGTTATCTGGTGCAAGCATAAATTGACTGGTTCAAGAGATTTTTTTTAATGAATTCTCTTTGTTAGAAGTGTTATAATTATGCCGACTATTAAAAACTATGTTCCTTTTAATTTGCGTTGTGTCATTTATTGATATACTAGGTGTTAACAATATTTTGGGCAAAAACTTTAAGAAAGAATATATATATTAAAAACTTCATTCGCTTTAAAAACAAAAAAATTCAAATTGGAAATAACAGTCGACATGTTTCAAGCTCTCAAAAACAGGAACCCATTTTTAAAATTTGCCAGATGTGTTAAAAGAAGAACCAAAAGTGACTTGAAATTTAAAACGTATAGTTGCCGATGAACAGGGGAAGAATAACGGTGAGAAACATAATTAGAAAAGCCACAGCAACCGAGCCCGAAAAAAAAAAAATGAAAAACAGAAATAGAAAACCACAATGATCGAGAGGTTCTGATTTTTCTCTTTTTTTTCTCTCTCTCGGCTACTGTGGTTTTTCCAGTTTTGTTTCTCACCTCTATTTTTCCTTTTTTTGTTGGCAACTTTACGTTTTATATTTCAAATCACTTTTGTCTCTTCTTCTTGGCAAGGCTTGAAAATGGGGGTTGTTTCTAAGCGCTTGAAAAATGACCGTTATTTCTAATTTGTATATTTTTGAATCGAATAAAGTTTATAATCGAATAATTCCTTACCACTTCAGTTTCTTGCCATTATTTATTTAATATAGCTGTTTTAGTATTATTATTCTTAACGTAGAAGGTCACATGTAACAAACGTACGACGTAATATTGACAAAATTTCTCAGCACATTTGTTGTTTATCCTACGTAAAAGATTTTTTAAAAAAATATCTTTGTTTTAGGTATTCATTTGAATGGAACATATATCTTTTTGATTGTGGAAATTCAATGTTGAAAGATTTTTTTTATTGTAAAAGATATCGGTTTTATATTGGAAAGTACCCTTTTTCTTCAAGATAAATATTAATTTTAAATATTAATTAATTATAAGTATTATTAATTTTATAAAATTAATATTTATTATAAATATTAATTTTATGATTAAAAGTATTTTCGTTTGCAGCTGAAAACAATTGTTATGGTGAAAATTACTGTCAGGGAAAGTCAGTTTTATGTTATCGATAAGAATTATGTTATGAAGGAAAAAGATCAGTTTTATACCCTTTGAAGCAGATGGGAGATCGGTGTCCCTTTTATATATTTTTTTCTGACGCTTTAACTACAAGCAAAAATAGGTTTTGATATTTTTTAATTATAAAAAACTGTCAAAATTTTATTAAAAAATTAGTTAGAATATCAGAATTATATTTGTACTAAAAATAAAATCCATAAAAAGTAGTTTTTTTTTATTCATATTCAAAAGTGTATCAATAATTAAGTTTGTAAAGTAAAGAAATTCAAATGATGAATAATCGTTTTTATAATAATCGAATCAAAACACTGCAAATAAGTGTTAATTTGAAAAATTATTGTTTGGAAGTCAGCCGTGTTACCTTTAACGCAGAAAAAGACGTCTGCGTTTCATGCTGTATTTCATAGTCATAAATTACTAAAATGTTAACTGTGATATTTTTCATTTATTTTGACCTAAATAAATACAGAAGTATGAAAAATATGTTTAATAAAAATTGTGCTTCAAAGGGTTGCAGAAAAACATAATATACTAAATTAAAAGGAAGCTCTGACAGAAACAATATCGGACTTAACCACACAGTTCATATTAGTTTCATTTATTTTTCTGCTTAGATAATTTATTAACACTAGAAATACCTATATTGCCCAAAAGCAGTCAAAATGACTGCATTGTGAAAGAATAACTAATATAAAAAGAAATTTGTTTAAAATCAATTTTTAATATTTTTGATATTATTTTCAGTTATATAACAAGTTATTAGTAAATATCAACAATAAAAATAATTAAAAAAGTCACAAAATTCTAAGAAATTGTGTCATTATATACATCATTGTTTTTCCAAATGAAATTAAAAGCAGTCCAAATGACTTCCTTGGGCAATCTAGTGTTAAAGATCAAAAAATATGTTGAGAAGGTTGTTAAAAATAACAGAATAGAGCAGAACTTTGACCTGAAACAGACTATCTCCATTAGCTTCAAAACTAGGCGTTTACACATTAAGTTCGTGGATTTGATCCTCCTTAAGCAGTTCCTTAACAAAAAATCTAACCCTAATTAAGTTCCCTCCTGATATGCTTCAACTTCCATTAACTTGTAACAAAACTTTAACAATTCCATAGATTCTGGTGTAATTACGAACAACCTCACTGGTTGCTGTCAAACAAAATTACTTTTGATGTGAACTGGAGACACTCTTTGGTTCTTCAAATATATTTAACACTAACTCTTGTTCAATAGAAGGAACATAAATCAGCCCACTTTTTTACCCTTGATTAGAGAAAAAAAGAAGTCAGAATAAGAGTGTAGCTACTTTTTCTGGAGGCATGGGATTTTTTCTCTCTCGCCTATTTTGGGGCTTAATTAAAGGGGCCTTTTTTAAATTATAAAACAATGGCAATTGAAGAGAGACTGGATTCACAAAATGAAGAAAATCAACCGCAAAATGACATTGATATTTTTTTTTCAATCTTCTTTATTTATTTATTTATTTTTTGTTACTTGAGCATAAAAATCGCATTCGCTGAGAATAGCAACTTTCCTTTAAAAACAAGCCACTCTTCTATATATAGATAAACTAAAGAAATTTCTGGATAGAATTTACTGGAATTTTTCTTAAGGGACATTTCGTTTACATCTAGAAAATTCTGGAAGCATTCAAAATATAAAACCGGAAGATATCAAGGTGAAAGAATTAGCTTATAGCTTACATTGATTAACTTAAGGTAGTAAAATGGAAGTTAGCAAATTCTGATAGATCCAAATATTGCTCCCTACTCAATAGAGCTTGAAAAAAAAAACCAGTGATAGGCGGATTATGTGTTAGACTGCTCTTGGCGTCGGGCTAATCATGGAAGGATTTGATAGTTTCCTGTTTAATGTGAAGCAAATGCGAGTCAGTGGCATCAAAAAGTACTAAAAGGCGGGTTTGATACAAGAGTTCGCTTGTCTTTCAGATTAGGTTCAAAATTACAGGGCAATATAACTGAATATTCATCAGGTTTATACGGCTGTTCAATGACATCAGGAAAAAAACCTCGGATTCGAGCCTTGCTTCCTTTCATTATGAGGTGAGCACTCTATTCCCTTAGCCACCGCTTAGTAAGCTTAGATGGAAAATCAATGAGTTGAAATGTGGTTTCCGTCAAAGTAAAACTGAAAAAGGACGAAAATTGACACTGAAAATGGTTATCAGAGAAACATACATTTTCATGGTTAACTTAGGTTATTTTATTCGATGCGAAATACAAATACAATTTTACATAAATGCTTTTACTTCTCATTATTCATTCATTATATTGTTGTTAGAAGAAACTTTTATTTTAACTTCGCTTTTCTTTCTTTACAATAATAAAAATAAAGAAAATTATAGCTAAATAATTAATTGGATTTAAATTTAATTGCATATTTTTTAAAAAAAAGTGGTTAAAAAAGAATCCTTTCGCTTGGAACGTGAGACTTACCCGGAATACTAGGGTTCCGCGGAACACCATTTGGGAACCACTGATATAGCACTCTTTGTGGTATTGAATCTCTTTTATGGAATGAACAGAATTATGAGCTCTTTCTTTTATTTTTTGATTTCATGATATGATAGCAAGTTTTCGTTTCCTATCTTTTTCACTGTTTATATGCCTTTCAAATATGCTAAGGATCAAAACATAAAAATTTACGATTTCAGTATGGTTAATTACATCACAATCTGGGGTTCATAAAGAATAAAGATAAATGACATTTTAAGTTTGCTTTTACAGGATTTTATTTATTTTTTTAAACAATTTACCGCTTTATTCACATAAAAATAAGCAATGCATTGAACAAAATAACAGTGCGGACATCCGTTAGCCAGCATGTGGCGATCTTGTAACAATTATTTCCTCAATAAATTGACTCAGCATGGTTGTGAAATTTTTTGTTTTTTGATCAGGTAACCTTCGAGAAAGGAGTTTTTCCCCTCACTGACTGTGTTTTGGAACCTTGACGACAACAATAACTGTGTTAAAAAAAAAAATCGTTAAAATGTTTTTAGTATTTTCTTTTTTCAAAAGATTCCTAAAAATATTTTATCAGGAACTTATTATTAGCAACTTAAACCGGTTTGCACCACCCAACGTCAAATTTATAGAACACTTTCTTTTTTCTAAACAGAGCAGTTGTTTCTGTATGTATTCTGTTCTTGTCTCTGTATTTTGTATTTCTTCATTTATCTAAAGCTAACCGGTCAAGGTGTGCAGAAAAAAATGCTCTGTGGAACACTAGTGGTCCATGAAAAATCTACAATGGTTTTGAAATTTAAGATTTTTTTTAAAGCAGTAATAATCATATTAACTTACAACCACGTAATTCATAGTTAATATTTCATTTGTAAATGAACTTATTTATATAAAATGCAAATATAAAAAATTAGAAAACTTTAAAAAAAGAATTTTTAATAAAAATATATTGAATATATTTTGAAAATGATATGCAATTATAAAAAATCCTATAAGTATTGAGCTTTTCAATTCAAAATGAATTAACTAAATTCGAGAATAAAGAATTATGTCTCTCTGATACCTATTTTCAACGTTTAAACAGTTCCTTTTTGAAAACAATAATTCAGCTTATTTTATTCATTTTCAGCATAAGCATTCTCCAAAAACAAATTCATAATATTAAATATTTTATTCTTAATTATATATTTTTAAAATTATTGGGACTTTTTTTATGGTTAGTTTATTCCCAGTTGCTGGAGAACTTTTTTTTTAATAATTCCGGGGTCTCGCCAAACGATAATTGATCATTTAGGCTTCCATAGCAGAAAAAAATTGATAACCGCTGGACTAAATCAGTCTCACCCTGCATAATTTATAACTGATTTAATATCAGTGACTAGATCTACAGCAGCAAGGAGTTAATAGTTTTCGAAATGAAATGGCGGTTTTCATTTTGTATTGTAACAATTGAATTCTTATTTA